TGGCCAAGGATGGAGGTTTGTGCAGGACCTCTGAACAACAAATGACATTGTTATCCCTCAAGACCCTGCTGTTCCTAACCCATACATGGACATCCATTCCCACTGGCGGCAAATTTTTCACTGTAACTCATCTACACAATGCGTTCTTTAGTATTCCGGTTGATAAAGATCAACCAGTATCTTTTTGCTTTCACTTAGGAAGAATGGAAAGACACTGGACAGTAATGCCCCCCCCAGTTTCACAGAGTCCTTCTTTTCACACACCTAGAAGCTGATTTGGATGTTGCTTTTTGTTCTTTTTTACAGGCTCTAATTGGTTAAAATACCTAGATGATCTGCTTCTCCGTTCTCCTTCTCAAACCTCTTCATAGGAAGACAGCATTCATCTGTTAAAACTTTTGGTCTTAAAGGGAAATAAACACTCCAAAGAAAAATTTGTTTGCTCAAACTCAGGTTTGATACTTAGGGCACCTGCCCTCAGAACAAGGACTACATTTGGATCTAGGGAGATTTCACGGCATTCTGAACTTTCCAAAAACCTAAAACTGAGGCCAATTACAAGGTTTTTTTCCAACTGGCTGGCTACTGTTGAAACTGGATTCCAAATTTCTCTCTTATGGCTCAATTTCTAGAAGTTTTACTAAAAAAGGCAAAACCTCACCCTATTATTTGGAAAGATCAGGAAGACATAGGTGTCTCTGCATATGAGAGAGAAGGGAATAACCTTGGGAGTACTCACCCCAAAACACAGAAACCCACAGGGTATTACAGTCAACAATTAGACCCAATGGCCCAGATATTACCCTGGCCTCAGAGACATTCCTGACGGGATCATCATGGGATCCCTTTTAACCACCCCTGTATTTTGGCTAAGGGCAAAACTGTAAACATTTATACTGATAGCAGGTGTGCCTTTGGGGTAGCTTGTGACTTTGGATTATGGAAACAAAGGTTCCTTACCTCCAAAAGGGCTAAAATTAAAAATGGCTCTTATGTCCAAAATTTGTTAGATGCCACATTTTGCTGGCTGCTCTGGCTGTTTATGGCTCCTGGGCATTCCAGACTCAACATCCTGAGACCAAAGGAAACCATCTGATTGATATTTCTGCCCAAAACACTGCTCTCAAAGAAACCTGTCATGGTCCAAAGAGATGTTCTGCAAATGATAATTCAGAAAGACCACCAGGAGATACCCAACAAGTGGAGCGCCCGGGTGGCTCAGTCAGTTAAACATCTGCCTTCGGCTCAAGTCATGATCTTGGAGTCCTGGGATCAACCCCCACACCGGGCTCCCTGCCAAGCAGGGAGTCTGCCTCTCCCCTCCGCATGTGTGCATGCGCACATTTTCACGCTCTCTCCAATAAATAATCTTCAAAAAAAAAAAAAAAAGAGGAGATACCTAACAATTGCCTGAGAGGGGAAAACGATATTGGAAATCTAATAATTCAATAAATTCAATAATTCAATAAATCCAATAAAAATCAATAATTCAATAAAAAGAGAGAACTCTGGTTTGGACCAAATAACAATCTGGCCCTACCAGAAATCTTCCAAGTTCCTACTACTTACCACTATATGTGCCTTAAACCGTTGAGGTCTACTGACACAAGACAGTATTCATGAACCAATACAGGTGGGGACATATTAACGAGGTTGCAAGAAGGGCTACCTCACTTGCCCCACCCGTCAAAAACAAAATTTGGGGAAACCTGTTTGCACAGATGGATTTCATAGTGCTTTCCCATCGCATGGATAGAAACAAGTTTCAGTAACGGTCCATATGTTTTCTCAGTGGACTGAAGCTTTCCCTTGTAGAGAGGCTGCTGTTTTTATCATGACTAAAAATTCTGTTAGAAAAGTGATCTGTCCTGGAGATTCACAGACCTGTACCCCTGGGGGGAAAAAAAAATATATGTTTATAAAAAATAAAATTTAAAAAAAAAAAAAAAGAAAAAAAAGAAAAGTGATCTGTACCCGGGGAACCCCCTCAAACTTCATAGTGATTGGGAACCCACTTTAAGGAGCAGGGGCTTTGATGTCGGTGCGGTTTGCCCAGTTTTATCAGTGTCATAGTGTAGATCATCCTCGATTCTCCAGGAGTTGAGCATATTAACAACACTATTAAGACTCGATTGGCAAAATTTGCAGAGATCCTCCAGATACCTTCGCCAAGAGCACTGCCACTGGTTCCACCCTTTTTAAACTCAAACTCTCCTCCTTTGAGATGGTCACGGAGGTCCAATGCACTTGGCTCCTACAGCTCCTTTGGCCCACAGTAGATAAAAGGAGATATACTTCAATAATGAAAAAGCCTAATTACTTCTATGAAAAACCACGTGAAGCAGAGTGATCTTTTTCATTGCTGAGAGATAATGACCTTGAGCATCACATCTTGCAAACTGGAGATTTCATCTCTAGAAAAAGGCACCTCCAGAAAGACTACTCAATCTTGCTGGAAAGGCTCTTATTGGGAACTGCTAATCCCTGTGGCACCAGACTCCAAGGAACAGGCTCTTGGATTCATGGGACACATCTAGAGAAATCATTAAACCCTGACTGGACCTCTACACCATCTGGGGACCTCCAAGCAAAGATTTCCTCGAATGAAAGCAAACCACATCTCACAAGACAGTTTTCTCAGCTTGTCTGGACCAGGTCTGCATACCTTTTCTGCACTGTTGGCTTCTACTATCTCTTTCTTAGAAAGGAAATAATCTTGTGCACATTTCCCAAACCCTTGTGAAAGGGAGAAACATCTTGAGTATGGCCTTTCAGCAACAGGCCCATCATGATCCCATTACAAATTAAATTTCACTTGCTTTTTCTGAAGGGTTAGAAAATTCAGAATTTACGAATGTCTTTCATCTGCACTATTATCTGATTCTGAATTCTTATTCAAATTCATGGTTTCTGAATTTGCAACCTCACAGGCTATATTACTGGATAACATCTGTTTTCAAATGGTTCTTTCAAGATAACAGTACTATTTTTGAAGTTTTGCTATTTTTGCAAAAATTTCATTAGTTATTGCTTCATGTTTATACCTGCACTTAATCTCTCAAAGACACGTGCTTAATTCTTCCAGTGTGCTCTTACCATATTATTTTGTCTTCATGGCTACTTTAAATGGGGACTTCCAGGAGGCATACAGGACTCCAGATTTGCCTCCATAGGGAGAACTTTTCTCCCTTAAGTCGGAATAAGTGCCAGTATATATATTCAGCTGGATACTTTCTGACCTAGGGGCCCCATTTAGAACCATCATACAATTTGGAAGTTATGTTACTTCTTCTGTTTTTATGTAATTATTTTTGTATTTAGTCACCTATCAAACTTTTATAAAAATAATGTACCCAATAAGGAGAAGATCTCCAATACTTAACAGTCTTGAATTCGTACAGACTTTAGATGGTTAGGAAGGAAAACTCCTCAGGCACTTCCCTTCCTGTTACTCAAATGTGGCTTTTAAGTGGTTCCAAACCTATGTACTTTCCATCAATGTTGGCCAAGACAAATGGGAAAGATCCTTTCTGGCACTGAGCGACAGCACCGCTAAATATGAAACCTGATTTTTAGTGAGTGATGCTTTCAAGGAAAGATTTTGATCAAAAGGGTGAAATGTAAAAATTATTAAACAGAAACTTCATTAAAGTGGATTAGGAATGGAGAAGGGGTTGCTGTACCACTCCATGTCAATTACAGTAAGAACTGTCAATTGCAGAGTCCTAACAGAAAATTTTCAACAGGAATCATCAATTATAGGCCCCAATAGAGAAAGATGAATTTTGCATCTCCTACAAGAAATTAATTAGTCCTGCAACTCAACCAGAGAGAAACTGTCATCATACCTGCTCTGGCTTTTCTCCAAAGGCTCTTGTTCCAAACTACCCCTCCAAACTTTCCCAGTCTCCAAAAAACAGCGTTCCTCTCTTTTGTTAGACTTGACTGTGGTTTTGCCATAATTTGATAGTTCCTAATTGCAGTTCTGTATTATTCCCGAATAAGTCCATTTTTGCTGGTAAAATAACTTATTTTTAAGCTTAACCAGTACAAACTTTCAGTTATAAAATAAGTCATGGGTACATAATGCATAGGATGGTGACTACAGTTAATTGTACTGGTCTGCATATTTGAAAGTTGCTAAGAGATGTTAAAAGTTCTCAACATGAGAAAAAAAAAAACTTGTACCTATGTTAGGTGATGGATGTTAACCAGACTTACGGCTATGATTTCACAATATATACAAATACTTAATATTACTACACCTGAAACTAATATTTACGGTTAATTATATCTCAAACTGTTTTAGCACCTTAAATATGCAGTGTAGTGTCAGGTGATGGGCTCTTTTTAGGACCATAAGCTGTTTCTTTGCGAACTGTCAAAAACTGGTGTTAAAAAGTTCATGCTAACTAAAGAAAGGAACTTTCAAATTTTAACTTCTAGAACACTAAGAGCAAAATTCAATAGCTCCAAGCTTTGTTTCTGCAAAGTGATATGAACTAATTTCAGGGAAGGACACTCGGGGAAGAAACAAGTTGTGGGAAGCTGCCATCTCCGCAGGAAGCCCAGGAGCCGATCGATGGGAGTCGCTATGAAACTAGGTGCTCCCAGTACCGTCTCCTAAGAAGAACCGCCTACGTCAATGGAAGTTGCCTGCATTAAACGCCACACTCCAGCTCCCGCTCTTCCTTTCTTTTTCGTAAACGCTAATGAAATCCAAACAAGTTAAACAAAGGCCCCGAAGTTTGGAAAACCGTGGGCGAGGCAAAGTAGGAACTGCGGGGGGGGAAAGGAATTGCAAGGGAGTGCGGCGCACGGGATCACAGGGGATGAGGTGATGCCCCGACGCCCAGCACGAGGGCGCCTGCAGCCGCGGTGCAACGAGCTGGAGGGCCGGCCGCCGGCGAGACGGGGTCCGAGGGACCGGTAGGGACCCGCGAGCCCACAGCCCCTCCCTCCGCGCTGGGCTCGGCAGAGAGCGGCCGGCCCGCACCCACCTGGCCTCCAGCAGCAACGGGGTCTCGGGCCACTTCGCGGCCAAGTGGGCCGTCACCGCCTTGGACGCCGAGGCTGTCCGGGAGCCGAGCAGCGAGAAGCACAGCGCCGTGGAGCCCAGGAGCAGCCGCACCACGTCTGCGGCCTTTGCCATGGCGCGGAGGGGGAAGCGCGAGCCCCTCGGACCCCCGCGACCACAGCCCGCAGCCACCACCTTTCAGCCGGTTCCTCCCGCCGCGCGGCCGCCCACTTCCGGTGGGGGGAGCTCGAGTCCGTTGCTCAGAGCCGGGGCCCGGCGGGCAGCGAGCGCATGCGCGTTCCGCTCCCGCGCCGTCCCGGGAGCCCCCCGGGGCTGGATCCTGGAGCCACGTAGGTGCGGGCGGGGCCGGATCGAGTCTCGCCGCGGCCGACGCTCTGGCTGACCTGCGATCCCGGCCTCTGGTTCTCGGGCGGAGGCTGCGGGACGCGGGGAGGGGAGTCCGGCTCCCGGAGAGCGAACTGGGATTGCGGCCGTCTGAGGCTGGGGGAAGATGCCAAAATTTGGAAGCAAAGGCAGGAGCTGTTGTGGATTTTATCCACTTTTACCCGGGCGGAAAACAAGGCCCATCAAGGTTCAGTTGTCGACTTTATGGGCTTCTAAATTTTATTGCATATCAGAGTCATCTGGTAGGGCTTTGAGAAAGCCTGATGCCTGGTAGTATTTAACCCACCCCGCCCCTAGGTGATTCAAGTGGGCGGTCAGGTTTGGAAGCCAGTGACCTCACGTGGAGGGCTTGTTAGAACGCTGGGTGTTTGGGGGCGGTGGGGGGAGCCTGGGTGTTTCAGTCAGTTAAGCGTCTGCCTTGGTGAGCTCAGGTCATGATCCTGGAGTCCTGGGATGGAGCGCCGCGTCAGGATCCCTCCTGGGTGGGGAGCCTGCTTCTCCCTCTCCTGCTCTCCCTGCTTGTGCTCTCTCACCGTCTTTTTCTCCCTGTCAATTAGATAAATAAAATCTTTAAAAACAAAAACACTGGCTGTTGGCCTCACAGGATCTGGTGCGTGCGTGTGTTGGGTATGGGCGGGGTGGGGAGAGACAAGAATTTGCATTTCACCTCTATCAAGTTCCCAAGTGATAATGATACTGCTGGCTGGAAACCTCTCTTTTTTAACCTTTGTATTCAAAAGTGGTCCACAGAGTAGCGGTCGCTACAACATCACCTGTGAGCTCATTAGAAATGCAGAATCTCAGGCCCCACCCCAGGCCTACTGAATCGGAATCCCCAGGTTAACAGGAACCCCAGGTGGTACTGTGCTCATTAAAGTTTCAGCGGATCTGGTTTTGAGGGTGGCAGGTGAAAAGACGCATGGGAAAGTCATAGTTGCTCATGTCATTATCAGCCAAAATCACACAGCTTTCACTGAGTCTTGATTTAAACCAAGGACTGTCTGACCCCAAAGCTCCTGCATTTACTTCATCAGGCTCAAAGAGAAAAGCTTTCAGCAGAGATAGGTGGTTTTCCAGTAAATATGATTCATCAAATCAAAACATTCAGTCTTATTTAACTGGGCAGAGGGGAGCCTCAAGATTCTGGCTCCTAGTCAAGAATGATTCTTTTTCTCTTCAGAAGGCTGTTAATTTATTATAAATATTAAAATATTTGGTAAAGAGAAGCAGTCGCTGGGAAAAATAGTTGAGGAGAATGCACTGATCCATTCCTTTTTTCCAGTAACTCTGACACCTTATAACGAACCTGGATCTCTTGAAGGTGCTGATCTTTTTTTTTTTTTCCCATTTCCATACATTTGCTTACTATATGCCTTTCCTTAGAAGACCCTGCTCATTTTCCCAAATAAAACAATAACCCCCCCCCCCAAGAAGACCTTGTACTGGAACTTTTACTCAGGTGTCACTTCCTCAGTCTACCCTTCTTTTCCTGATTGTTCCTACTTGTTACGATCTATCCCTCCTTCAAATCCCAAAAGCTCTTTATTTTCTGTCATATATCACTTATAAATCTCACTTTAGAATTTGAATACAGTACTTACTTATTTCTCCTATTCAGGGGGTGTTTCCCCGAGGAATCATGCCTTACGTATTTTTAGCATCCATAGCAATAACTAGCACAGTACATGTTAATCGGCCTCAATAAATATTGAACAGTCCTTGTTTGTTTGTTTGTTTCTTTGTTTGGATAAGTGGGCAAAAAGCTAAGGCAATGAGTACACAGCTTCATTTCTATCCACAGAACATAACGTAAATATATATTATGAATCTTCCACAACTATTTGCTTTAATTAACTCCTCATGTCTACTTGTTCTTGGAGTGAAATTTTGACTAAAATTGTAGGATGAAGGAAATCAGATATTTTTAGTGAGTGTCTTCAATGAAAGCATATCTGATGGTTGCCAATTTTTAAGAAATGACTTGTGGCATGAAGAGTCACATAAAATACACTATTAAGGGACACTACTGAAACATATATTTATACACATTCCAGTATATTTGAGTTCACAGTAGAGAGGAATGCTACATTTCTCTTTTTTTAAAGGACGAAATTAACCCAGTGCCATTTATTTACATAATTATTATACATTTTAGCTTACATAGTATTTTCCTAGAAATTTAAGTGGGTTTGAAATAGACTGACCATTCCTAGGCTCGTTTCCTCATCTGCAGAACAAAAGAATAGGACTAGGGGAGATGTACTTGTTGGAGGAGATCATCAGAACTGCTATTTGACCTCAGAGCCAGGCTCAGACGATGAGACTCCTTGCTCTCTCTTCTGTCCTTGGAATGTAAGCTCTGCCCACTGTTCCCACATCAGCAGCCACTTCAAGGAAGCAGCCTTCGGAGAGTAATATTACTGAGACAATCTTCTCCGTATAAGAGACTGAACTCTGTTAAAGCCTCAATATGAACTCTTAAGCAGCTGGCAGGTGAGTGCACGGATCTACTTGCCTTGCGGTGTCCCAGACCAGCCTTGTAAGTAAGCTCCTTTACTTATTAAAACTGCCACCTACCAATGTGGAGTGGTCTGCTTCTTTCTTCCATATCTCCTTGCCCTCTGAGTATGGCAATGAGTTTCAAATTTCACCCAGGGAACTCTCAAGGTTGAGAGCCAACATTCAAGTCTCTTCTATATGTCATATCCACGTACAGATAGAAATATTAAAATGCAAAAGTTGAGTAACTCAGAGAAGGTCACTCAAGTTAATAGAGCAGCAAAACAGTCTAACATTCATTATCAATAACCCTTCGGCACAGATCAGCTATGAAGGGAATGTAGTTCAGGGACACAATTGAATATTTTTTAGCAAAATGTTATTCAAAGTTATTCACATCAGGGTAATATGAATGAAAATTGATGATGATAGCAGTTTTCATTGTATGTGGAAGAAGTGATTAATGAGTGCTTCATAATAAGAATATTGTGTTTAATAACATAAATCATCTTGAATTTTTTTAGGTAGGTACAGCATGGACTATATTTATTTGATGAAAATAGTGGTGCTATGTGAGGATTAAGTTGCTACCAAATTACTATGTAATATAATAAAACTTTAATTTTCTCTACCTAAAGTTGTCTCACAGCTGAAATGGCTTTTAAAAAAATATTACCCTGTAGGTCTTCCAGATTTCCTTTACTATAACAAAGACGCTTTTCTTGTTTGTTTGTTTTTTTAAGATTAATTATTTTAGAGAGATAGTGCAAGTAGGGGGAGGGGGAGAGGGAGACGGAAAGAAGCAGACTCCTCACTGAGCCCAGAGCCTGACTTGGGGGCTCAATTCAAGACTCGGAGATCATGACCCTGAAATCATAACCTGAGCTGACATTAAGAGTTGGATGCTTAACCCACTGAGCCACCCAGGGGCCCCACCTTTTTCTCATTTTTTATTTGAATATCTTAAGTACAAGAAAATGTCCTACTCTTCATTTCAGCTGGGAAAAATGTATAAACTTATTTAATTTGTTATAGTTATACTCCCTAGCAAGATTATGCTAAAATCATAAATGAGTTATTGTTAAGTGTGAATAAATTTTGTATATTTTTATATGATCTTTATAATTTTGCATATTTTATTTAATGTATATTACAGATGCCTCACAAATGTCTAATTCCAGGTCTGTTTGAGGAAATTGTTTACTGTAGTTTGTTTACTACAGTGGCTTTCAAATAACAAATTAAGTATATGAAAGATATAATCTTTTAATCAATTAGGATGATATAAAAACATGACATCTACTATTTAACAACATCCTTTTATACTTACATACATGGTCAAAATTTTATAATTGTGTATTCAAAGTTTGCTAAGTCACCATTGCTTCTACTATTTTGTTTTCTTTCAGAAAACACATGGGATTGAAACATGTTGGTGTCAGACAAACATGTGTCCCGTTTTTACATCTTCTAGTAGAGGTTAGTATCGTTATCTGCACAAACTCATCAATTTATTCAAAATATATTGTTTGTCATCTGTGGGAAGCTGACTGTATCATATGTTAGGAAAGAATACTGAGTAGATAAAATGGTTACTGTCTTTAAAGGGTTTATGGTGTAGTGAAACATAACAACGTATGCCAATAAATTATTACAGCGAAAAGTCAATAAAATTCTATGGAAGTCAGAAGAAGATACTTTTTTTTAAAGACGTTACTTGAGAGAGAGAGAGAGAGCATGAACAGGGGGGAAGGGCAGAGGGAGAGAATCCTCAAGCCTACTCCTGGCTGAGGGCAGAGGCTGACTTGGGGCCCAAAGTAGGGCTCGATCCCAGGACCCTGAGATCCTGACCTGAGCTGAAATCAAGAGCCGGACACTTAAACGACTGAACCCCTCAGGCACCCCCCGAAGAAGACACTTCTTCAGAAATCTTGTTGAGCAAATAAACAAATAAAAAGCTTTAGTAACTTTTCTCATTCAAATTATTTCATGGATTTAAATCTAGAACTTTGAGAAGCTGCACAAATCCTTTCAATCCCCAGGGAAGTATCTGATTCTACATCATGAATATCAACAACAAAAATAAGCATTTGCAGACCAGCTGCTTCACATTTATGTCACGAGCCATGGTCTCAAACCCTAAGTGACTTCCTCATTTGGTTGGGGGTGGGTAGTACAGTACATAAAAAGTAAATTATAATGAGAAGTTTTATGTGAGAAGACTTGGAGGACTGGCACATGACAATGAATGGGACAGGAATTAAAGAAGAAGGCAGTCTTGAGAAAAGCCTCACAGAATCATTGGTGTGACTAC